TTTATACTTATATTGCACTTCCGTTTACTGAAGGTTTCCTCCAAAAAACTCGCTCGGCTCGCCAAAGATTGGGCGCTAAAGAAGGCTGAAGCAGACGCTCTCTCATCCCCTCTGCGCGCCCTCCAGCGAGAGTCCTGGCAACTGCGTGATCAGTGTTCACGCCTCGAGAAGGAGAATGAGACCCTCGCCGATGAAGTTCTCACCAGCAAAACTAATATGCAGAAGCAGATAGAGAAGGTAAGAAGCGTTATCAAAAATCCGACAACACTCTCTAATATGCATTAAAAGTAGCTACTAAATATTCCGTGAGTAAATGAAACGTTTAAACTAAATTAAACGTGCTCGCTTAGAAACCATCGTCTCGGCACAGGGAGGTAAGATTTAATTGTGTCGTTTGGTTTGGGATTCTCCTCATGCTTGCAGCCTGAAAGCCTTCATTATTATCTGTGCTTTTACCGTGTATAGCTTGCGTAGTTTGCTTATAATGCGGGTAAAATTCTGAAGCGAAACTACGGTTTACATGACTGCTTCCGCCTGAGTTGTGTTTGAAACCTCTTCTGCTACCAATTACGGCCTTTTTCCCTTCTAACCTTTCCATTTCCCATGCTTTTTGCAGTTGGAGGACATGGTAGAGTCGTTGAAGATAGAACTATTCGCTGCACAAAAGGAACTCGTTGAAAAACAGGAGGAGTGTGATTTTATGGAGAAGGAAACTCGTCAGGTGGGTTGTGTCCGTCACATTTTCGCATTCTTTCACGCTGTAAATTTACATCCTGCGTTCTAGGCCATAAAACACACTACTATCCAGTTTTCTATCCACACATACGTATATGGCGGACGGGAAGATAAGGACAACGGTCTGCCGTAAGACAACGAACACTATGCGCATCCTCCACTTCAGAAGCAACCACCCCGTTAGTTACAAACGCAGCTGTGTTAGGACCCTCTTCTAACGCGTTCAGACACACTATAGTGACGACAGTGAGGAGAGGGAGGAAATTAAATACTTCCATACCCTATTTCAAGTCAACGGCCATCCAAAGTCCTTCATACGCAAGTGCTACAAGAAGCCTCGCCTTAAGCGGTCGAAATAAGAAGACCCTATGTTCCGGCTCGCCACTCCCTATGTGAAGAGGCGACTGCAAGAATCCTGAAACCAGTTGGGATCGGTGTGGCTCATAGGCCAGAGTCAACTATCAGACTTCTATAAAACATGCACTGCGACCCCTAGTTCAGCATAGCCCTTATTGCATCCTCTCAGCAGGAAATTTTACTGCGGATATTTGAAATTGAGCACATTAGGCCAAAAACATGGTCGGTTACAAATAGAGGCGCCGTCTCTCTCTTCTTTTTAAGTTGCGCACGCCCGGTACGGTCCGTTTTTGGTCTTCTAGGCGTTCTCTGCGCCCACACCAAAACCCTGCTCACTTTTTTACCCCTCTTCCCTCCACAGGTGAAGAACATGATGCGCAAACTGTTAGAACAACACAAGTCCGAGCGTCAGCAACAGGCTGCCATCATCGACGAGTACAAGACAATCACATCCAATCTCTCCAAGCGATTAGATTCGCTGGAGAACTCCACGGAACGTATCTGTCGTCTGCCCTCCGCTGTGGTGGAGACCCTGATGCAGTGTTCTGGTGAATGCAGGGCCGCCCTCGACTCCTACCTACCCGGTTGGGATCAGACCAGTGACAATGGTCTAGCCAGCCAAGACGGTGCCCTCGATGGCAAGGGGAAGGAGGTGAATGAGGAAGTCACGAGTCTCAGGCGACGGGTGAGTTGAACTGCCATCCTTATAGGCTTATCGGCGCCATATTTGTTGGCCAAACGGTGCTTTCGTGCGGGGTGGTACAAGGTGTTTCAACGGCGACTTCTGTCGTGTGGTGTCACCGTCTAATTACGTCCTTTGGAATCCCCAAGGAAGAGCAAAATAAGGAGGGTGTAACTTTGGAGGAGAGTTCGTTGTGTACAAAACCCGGAGTTGCTGTCTCCGATGGCAGTCGCCGCTGGCGTCAGCCAGAGCTTGATGTCTGGCCGCGGGA